TCAGCCTCTAGCCTTTCCTGAAATAATTATTTCACAATAAAAATGTTCACAGATTGTGGAGGGCTGAGTTTCTTCTTTTAATCCTGTCCAACTCAAGAACACTTAGTGAACAACTGAGATTTTGTGCAGGACACAGTGAAGGAAGCAATCTGTCCCCTAATTAATTACTTCATTTTGCATTGTTTTTGTGGTGCTAAATGAATGAGATGCCCCCTCCCCTCCATGTCCCTTCTGAAACCTTCTTCCTATTGTGTCAGACTTGTCACTGCAATCTCTCTTAATTGCAGGCTCCTTGGCAATTTCTCTGCCACAACATTTTCCCAAGGAGAACCACTGGTGAGTACTCAGATGAAAACAAATGCTCTGACAAGCTGGAGTTTTAATTTTTCTTGAGATTGCTTGTAGAAGAGGATCATTATTAGCAGATGATAATTAGAAAGTGGTAACACTTTAATTTGCAAGGATATATTGAAATTCATTAGCATCTGAAAGCTTTGCCGTGCTCTGTGGCAAATGAATTGGAAATAGCAGACTGGTTCCGAATAGCTATGATAAATACCCTGACCAAACAACTGCCACCACTATTGCATCTGTTGATCTACCTGTCCTGTCCTACCTAGCCTACCTTTATAAGAGAAGCCAAAGACAGGGGAAGGGTCAAACTCCTGGGGCGAGTTTTATCCCTCCTAATGTCTTGTCTAAGCTGATCATCTAAAGGGCATTCTCTCTCCTTCAATGATAAAGGATAAGGACCTCTGTCCAGAAGATACTTCAGAGAAATGTGTTGACAGGACAAGCGATAACAGTTTTGAACTGAAAGAGGGTAGATTTAGATTGGACATAAGGAAGAAATCTTTTTGTGACAAGGGTGGTGAGATACTGGAACAGGTTGACCAGATAAGTTGTGGATGTCCCATAACTGGAAGTGTTCAAGATCAGGTTGATCTGAGCAACCTGATCTAGTGAAAGACGTTCCTGCCTACTGCAGGGAGGTTGGACTAGATGATTTTTGAACATCTCTTCCAACCCAAACCTTCCTGTGATTCTGTGATTCTATGAAATTATCCACTCTGAGCTCATGGGAGGTGAGGTGGGAACTAGAAGAAGTAATCAAAACTATGGGGAAAAGGCTGTTGTTCAGAAAGTGGAGAACTATTCTGAACAGTGTTAGCTGGGGTGGGGACTTCATCCTTCAGGCTATTGTCTCCAGGAGGAGATTGCCACTCCCAGAACATGGTTCATCCTACCATGGACATGTGCACTGGCACAGAATGAACCAGCTTCATGGTACCAGTTTCTTTCCACTCAGAAGAGAGACAAAAAGTCTACTTAGACCAGATGCTTGACTGGTCCAAGAGGCCAAAGGTAGATTCAAAACTATACGTTGACACCTCACGACTGATTCTCCAGTCTTTATGAATTGCTGTTTTTCATCTGGCAGGAGTGTATTCCCTCTGTATCTTCCAGCAAGCTGCAAACATCAGCTAATTAAAACATCATGAAAGTGGAGGCAAGACATTGTTTCCTTAAAATTTTTTGAACAAGTGCAAAGATGTCCTTGAAATACTCAAATCCTACTCTGCATGAAGCAATAACCTTCAGTCAAAAAAGCCAGTGTTAGCCTTAAAAAGTAGAATACCAAGAGTGGTGATTTTTGAACTGAAATTTCCATGTCCTTCTCTGGCCAGCTTATATCTCTACAGCTACAGAATTGTTTTCTAATTTCCTCTGACCATTCACTTATGAGTGTTTATTCCCCTGCCAAGACAGGGAAGCAGAGGGTAACCTGAGGACTACTGATGACTTGTACAATAAATCATTTTTATTGTGAACTATTATGAAATACAATCACACGAAGGAAGAGCATTTGCTGGATTTTTCTGCTAGGATGAACCACTGTGAAGGTATAAACAATGCTGACACATTGTCAGTGTGAAGTTTCCCTGTTACTCATTTATTGAGGTGAATGGGAAGTGAGTCACACCTGCCAAAGCTATTGTCTCAGCAGACTTTGCAAACTCAGGCTAGTACCAGATCAGGGAACACTGTTTACGAACTTTCCATTGGTGCTGTGGGCTTTCTGGATTGTGATTTCCTTGTTGCCATTTTGCTTCATGTCATTTCCTCTTTCACCCTCAATTTACTTCTATTTTGTGAAATTTCAGAGCTGTGAGGAATGAATACATGCATTTTGCTGTTATATGATTGAGGTGGAAGAACAGCCTCCTGAGAGCTTGAATTGCCAACAAGAAGGATTTCAGTGCTGAAAGCTTTGAACTCCAGAGCTCTGTTTCCCATAGCAAAGCAGAAATATAAAGTCATCTAAACCTTGCAACATCCACCCATGTAAGGAAATGAATATTTCTCTTATCTTGTGCAAGGGAGAATGGAGGTCCAACAAAAGTTGTGAGGGATTTTTTTTTTTTTTTTTGCACTGGCTGAACATCAAAGTGGTGCAGAAAATTGGATTACAGATTTCTGGATTCCCTGATCTCATGACTCATCTGACGGACCTCCTGAATCTCTCTGCCCAAGTCATTTAATTTTCTTTTCACTCAGCCCTCTCATTTCAGTGAGATAATTTCTACACTGCAACCTGACCACAGGTAGCTGTTCCCTTTCCATATCTGTGCCTCTGGCAATACTTTATCCCAAGATAATGGTCACTTCATGGGAGTGCTTGGAAACCATACTGGGCCCTTTGATTATTGCAAGAGGCTAGCAGTTTGGCTTTCAGTGCTTTTTGGCAAAAAATAGGTCTCCCAAGGTATATTTTTCTGAATCTTACCAGGAAACAACTAGCTGGCATGTAGCAAAACAAAAATCACAACTAGACCTGACACAAAAGATCACTAAATCAGTTTGGGTTTCTTGGATTCAGTAACAATAATGTCATCTCTATGTCAAGAAAAATAACTTCCTGTGAAGTCTAGCCAAGAAGATAAACAGCTCAGCTGTCTTCTTGTGAGGGATTTTTTGTGAAATAATTTGTTAAATAATTTGTTGGAGAACAAGCCTTATGAGGAGCGGCTGAGGGAACTGGGGTTGTTTAGTCCAGAGAAGAGGAGGCTGAGGGGAGACCTTCTTGCTCTCTTCAACTCCCTGAAAGGAGAGTGTAGTGAGGCAGGTTTGTGTCTTTTCTCCCAGGTAACAAGTGATAGAACAAGAGGAAATGGCCTCAAGTTGTGCCAGGGGAGGTACAGATTGGATATCAGGAAATACTTCTTCACTGAAAGGGTTCTCAGGCACTGGAATGGGCTGCCCAGGGAGGTGGTTGAATCCCCATCCCTGGAGGTGTTTAAAAGACAGGCAGCTGAGGTGCTCAGAGATCTGGTTTAGTAGTGGACAGGTACAGTTGGACTCAATGATCTCAGAGGTCTTTTCCAACCAGAAGATCCTATAATTCTAAATGTTCCCCAGATTTTGCTGAGAGGTTGCTTTACAAAGAGGTTGGGATAGGCTTAGAAATTACTGTGGTGAGGAAGGAGGGAGCTACCACTCCTAGATGGAAAGAAAAAGGAAACCTGCAGCACCTGATCCCAAAGCCAACAACATATAAATAACTTCTCACAATCCTAACAACTGGGCAAGGAGACATACAAAAG